AATAACACAATTAGAAGGGAATGGTTGTGATGTAAGAAAGTTAACATATTCTGTAATATTACTATAAAATTGAACAAGGTCTGTATTAATTAATTGTTTAGCACTGCAATTAGTACCAAAATTCTTTAATTTACTTTTCATGTTTTGTAAGCTTTGATACAGTGAATAGCCATGACATGTTTCAATTTGTAATTCACCAATGTCATTCATCATTTTAAATTGTTGAGGCAATGTCATTGCCCTTCGTGTTACTTGACAACTTGTCATTGTCTTCATACTTCTTCCTAAAATACGTGTAGTAGAAGTAGCTGTTTTCATTTTTTGTTTTATTTTTAAGTTCGTTGGTTTTTATCTTTCCTTTTTGTTTTTGTTACAACAATTAATCTGATAACATTTTCTGATTATTTTATTATTTTGTGTTTTATGAAGTAAAACGATCTAAAAATACAAATAGGAAGCAAAAAGTATGTATTGAGTGATTGAGATGGAAGGATAAAAAGTTCTGATGGAAATTACTTCTAAGATTAGTATCAATTCTAAGAAATAGAGTATGTAATAAATAAAATCATTCAGGTATGGGTGTTGAACAAAACTCCAAAAGAAACCGATAGAGAGATTGACGTCGAAACCAACAACGAAATCATAGTTTTTTAGGTTGAAATCTAAAAAATACAATTAAAACAGATATGAAGAAGTTCTTTGCAAAAGTAACCAAACACGATAAAAAAGATGACAAAGAAAAGGAGGAAAAGAAAAAAGAAGAGAAAAAGAAAGACAAGTCCCATCATGAAAAAGAAGAGTCCCAAAAAATAAAAGAAAAAGAAGAAGCTAAGAAAAAGGCAGAAGAAGAAGCCAAGAAAAAAGCAGAAGAAGAAGCCAAGAAAAAAGCAGAAGAAGAAGCCAAAAAGAAAGCAGAAGAAGAAGCCAAAAAGAAAGAGGAAGAAGAGGCTAAAATGAAAGCAGAAGAAGCCAAGAAAAAGGAAGAAGAAGAAGCCAAGAAAAAGGAAGAAGAAGAAGCCAAGAAAAAGGAAGAAGAAGAAGCCAAGAAAAAGGAAGAAGAAGAAGCCAAAAAGAGAGAGGAAGAAGAGGCTAAGAAAAAAGAAGAAGAGGCTAAAATGAAAGCAGAAGAAGCCAAAAAGAAAGAGGAAGAAGAAGCCAAAAAGAGAGAAGAAGAAGAGGCTAAAATGAAAGCCGAAGAAGAAGCCAAGAAAAAGGAAGAAGAAGAAGCTAAAAAGAGAGAAGAAGAAGAAGCCAAAAAGAGAGAAGAAGAAGAAGCCAAGAAAAAGGAAGAAGAAGAGGCTAAGAAAAAGGAAGAAGAGGCTAAGAAAAAGGAAGAAGAGGCTAAGAAAAAGGAAGAAGAGGCTAAAATGAAAGCAGAAGAAGAGGCTAAAATGAAAGCAGAAGAAGAGGCTAAAACTGAAGAAAAGAAAGACCAACCACAGGGACTTGGATTAGGTGGAGGATTAGGACAACCACAAGGATTAGGTCTTGGAGGTGGTCTTGGATTAGGTGGAGGATTAGGACAACCACAGGGACTTGGATTAGGTGGAGGATTAGGACAACCACAAGGATTAGGTCTTGGACTAGGCGGGGGATTAGGACAACCACAAGGACTAGGTCTTGGAGGTGGTCTTGGATTAGGTGGAGGATTAGGACAACCACAAGGATTAGGTCTTGGAGGTGGACTAGGACAATCAAGTGGATTACCTAGTTTAGGGCAACCAAGTATGCCAACTATATCTGGGCAAGGAGGTGCTGGAATTAATGGAGGAGAACTTCAGATGAAAAGTACTGGTAAGAAAACAATAAAAAAGAAGAAGATGGGAGTTGCACAATCAGCATTCTTTGCACATGAAAATGAAGAAAAGGCAAATGCAATGTTAAGCAAGATTGCTGATGATGCAGTACTAGTATTTGATTGTGGGAGTTCATTTATCAAAGTTGGGGTTGCAGGAGAAGAACAACCAAGAAAAGTTATTCCAACATGTTACTGTGTAATAGAAGATGAAGAGTATGAAGGAGGAGAAAGAAAGGAATTTGGGTATAAGGCTATTGATGAAAATGCCAAGTTAATTTGGCCACTTGACCCAAGAAATGATACTGATTGGGATGGATTATTTGATATTATCCAAAATATTTATCAAGTTGAATTAAACGAATTAGATCCAAGTACTCATGCAGTCGTTATGACAGATTTACCAAATATGAATGAAGTTGCAACAGATAAAATTAAATCTATGATGTTCAATGATTTGAATGTTCCATTTTTAAAGATTGTTAATCCAGCATTAATGGCATTATATGCAGAAGGAAAGGAAACTGGTCTTGTAGTTGAAATTGGTAATAGAATGCAAATAGTACCAGCTGTTGATGGATTTGTTATTGATAATGCTATTACTAAAATTAAAGGTAATGTTTCTGGATTAACAGAGTATATGCAACGGTTATTGAGATCATGTGGATATATCTATACGACATCACAACAAATGGAATTAGTTAGAGCAATTAAAGAAAATGTTTGTTATGTTGCTCTTGATTATGATGCAGAAATGAAGAGAAAACCAAGAGAAATTATGAAAGAGTATAAAGTTCCTGGAAATGACAATACTTCTAAATTCTTCCAAGAACGGTTCCAATGTCCAGAGGCTTTATTTAAACCAGAAAAGGTTGGTATCGATACAGCGGGGTTACCTCAAATGATCTTTGAATGTATTAAAAAATGTCCACTGACCTCAAGAAGACCGTTATTAAATCATATTGTTTTGGCTGGAGGATCAACACTATTCCCTGGATTACCAGAAAGACTTGATCAAGATCTCAAAAAAATTTTAGAAGAAAATAAAATGAATTCAAGAGACGTTAAGATTGTTGTTCATCAAAACAGAAAATACTTAGCATGGGTTGGTGCAGCTTTATTAGCTGGTATGCCTACATTACAAGATGAAGAACAATGCACAAAAGATTATTATGACAATAATTAAATTCACAACAACTTTTTATTCTTATTTTTTTAATTCTTTTAAACTTTTTTACTCATTGGATTTTTGATATAAAAAGTGAAATGAAAAGTCATACATAATACAAGATAAATCTTCTTCTTTTTATGAAATTATTATGATTCCTGTATCACCTAAACAGCAAGAAGAATCTCAGTCAACTCAGTTTCTTTATTCCCCAATTTATCAAAATCAACCTGTCTCTCCCTTTTATGGCTTATCACCCAATTATGAAGGTTATCAATCATCTCCTGTTCAAGTAGTATATGTGAGTGAACCTCAAGCAAAATTATTATTTGTACTAGGATTTGTGTTTTGTTGCTTATGGCCAATTAACGCATGTTTATACCGTCATTCAACAAATAAACAAATTCAACAATGGGTTCAATTGTCTATACTTTGTTTTTTCCTTTCATTAATTTTATCTTCATTAATAATTATTTTTGTAATTATTGGCATCAATTATGAACTGTTCGCATCACTTAATTGACATTTTAATCAAACCATTTCTTTTACTTTTAAGAACAAAAGAATACAACTAAATAGAAAAAATACATCAAGAAAATCAATCTAAGGTATAATAAAATATTGTGTTTTGCGTTATTTAAGACCAACCAAATGAAGTAGATAATCCCAAAATGTTTTTCTTGGTTGAATAACTAATTGTTGAAGAACATCACCACAACCGTACTCTTCTCCAAACTGATTAATCCCATTTACCAAATATTGTTTTCCATTTGCTGACATTAAACCATTAGAGATCATTTTATGAGCGTCATTAACAGAAGAATAAACAATTTTTATATCCCCATTATTAGTTTGATTTACTGCTTCTATCTTACCACTTTTTTTTGCCTCTTCAATAATTTTACCCATTTCAGATAATGGTGCATTTTTAATAATAATAGAACGTTGAGTACTCATTTGACTTGATCCATCAGATAATGTAGTTAAAGGGGTAGATATAAACACAGATGTCCTTCTTAGTTGTGGTTGTCTTAGTCCATTATTTAATGGAGTATCTACAATAGAATTTCGTGGTAATGATATAGAAGGTTGTTTTGTTTTTTTTTGGTTAAATAGTGTCACTGGTCTTTCATTTTTTGTTCTAACATCCATATTTAAGTATGAAGAAGGTAGTCCTATTATATTAATTTCATGTACATATTTCTTTCTTAACAAATAGGCAAACTATACATAGATGGTCTCATCTTCACAATTCACTTTTCCCTTTTTTTGTTTTTTTTTTTATAAAATAATTATAAAATATATTTAATTAAGTTATTATAATTTAATAATATATTAAATATAACAACAAACAATTCATTTTATTATTATTTTTTATTATTTAATAATACTCAATAATACTGGTAGTTCTAAATTAAAATGAATACTATATTCACCCAACATGATGTTTTCTTATGGACTTATCAACACCCAGAAGATTCTGAATTAGATAAACAAGTTTTTCATTCTTCTGTTTTAAGTAATGAAAAAGATCATACTTATCAAATGTCAACAAGAAGAATTAAATCAATAATTATTCCAGAATATATTAATGTTCTTGATGAAAATTGTTTTAATGATGAAATAAAATTAGTTTCAATTATTTTACCTGATGGACTACTTAGTATTAAATCTAATTGTTTTAGACATTGTAACAAATTAGCATTTATTGAATTACCCTCAAGACTAGAGGTAATTGGAAATAAAGCGTTTGAGTATTGTGATTTAATTAATACTATTTCAATTCCAGATTCAATTCATATAATAGGAATTGATGCATTTAATAATTGTCAATCACTTATATCTTTCTCGTACTCTAAAATAATTGGTATTATTCATTCTAATATTTATTATTTAAATGCTTTTAATGAATTGTTATATTTTAAAAAACCATCTCAACTTGAAATGATTAATGGACAACCTATTAATCTCTTTTGTATTAATTCTTTTGATACTCTTCTTAAAAATGAATCAATTCATTCAATTGGATCTTCTTGTTTTAAAGAAAATCAACTAATTTCAGAAATTACTCTTTCGGAATCAATCACCTCAATTAAGACAGAGGCTTTTGCTTATTGTATAAATTTAACTTCAATAAATTTACCTTCAACACTTAAAAAAATTGAAGATGATGCATTTAAGAAAGTTAATTTAAAAACAATTAAACTTCCAGATTCAATAACAACTCTAGGGTCTTCTGTTTTTGAGGGATGTACATCATTATCATCAATTTACATTTCATCAAATTTATTAAATCTTGGAGATCGTTCATTTGCTTTTTGTAAAAGTCTTTCATCAATCACATTACCTTCTTCTCTTACTTTGATTGGAAATAATATATTTATGAATTCTAGATCAATTCAATCAATGGATATTCCAAATAATTTGACTATACAAAATGACAACTGTTTCTTTGTTAATTCTGATATTCTTTTAAAAGTAAAATTACCTCCATTGTTGTTAAAATTAAATTCAACAACATTATCTTCATATAACAATAATAATACAATAATATCTATTCCATCAAATTGTTCTGTTCTTTCAAATTATTGTTTTGAATCTTCATTAATTCAATCTATTGAACTTTCTACATTAATTACTTCCCTTGGTAATAATTGTTTTTGTAAATCTAACTTAACAAAAGTTATTCTTCCATCTTCCTTATCATCCCTTCCTATTAGTTTGTTTGAAAATTGTTTCTATTTAAAATCAGTTCAATTACCATCATCATTACAAATTATTCCAAAGTATTGTTTTAGTCATTGCAATGCCTTATTTTCTATTACACTTCCTATATCCATTACTATGATAGATGAAGGAGCATTTTCTAATTGTAGTCATCTAACTTCTGTTGAATTATCTCCAAATATTAGAATAATTGGTTATAGTTGTTTTGAAGATTGTAGTTTTCTTCCAACATTACAGTTAGAGTCATTACCACTTATCACTATTGGTGATGAATGTTTCTGTGGTTGTAATGCACTAAAAACAATTAATCTTCCTTCATCATTACAATCTCTTGGTTTAAATTGTTTTGCTAATTGTGAACAATTAACTTATATCCATTTACCAATGTCATTAACTAGTCTATCTCCATATTGTTTCTTAAACTGTTCTTCTCTTAAATCAATTGAATTACCTACATCCCTTATTTCTCTTCAAACACATTGCTTTGATCAATGCTCCTCTTTATCTACAATAAAACTTCCTGACTCTCTTTTAATCATTGATTCATATGCTTTTTCTCTATGTTATTCTCTTATTTCAATTGACATATCTTCTAATCTTCAAGTCATTAACTCAAATGCTTTTGATCGTTGCGAAAAACTTAAGTCTATCGAATTACCAATTTCATTAAAATGCATTAATTCAAACGCTTTTAGACAATGTACTTCTCTAAATAATATCACCATTCCTTCTAACATTCTTTTCATAGACCAAAACACATTCAGTAGGTGTACTAACATTACTTCATTTTGTCTTCCAAAATCTTTGAGCTCATGGGCTTTTCATATAGAATCTAAGAAATTTAAAATTAATTTAATTTAGAAATTCTGATGTCTTCTCTTTCTTTTTATTTCTTTATCTTCTCTTTAACTTAGTACTCTGTTAAATGAATAGTTAATGACGTGGAACCTTCCTAATAAATACTTTTTAAGATTCTAACCTTTAAAAAATTTATTAGTACAATCTGAAAATATCAGACTTATCATTATGTCGATTCAACAAGTTTTAGAAAATCTTCAAATAGATAACAGTACA